GAGAGTATGCATAGGTGTGTGTGTGTGTGTGTGTGTGTGTGTGTGTGCACATGTATGTGTGTGTGTGTGTGTGTTTGTTTGTGTGTGTGTGTTATGTGTTCAAAAGTGTGTGTCTGTGTGTGCGTGCATGTGTACATGTGTATGTTTGCCCGTAAGTGTACACACGGATGTGTATTTGTATGTGGAATGCAAGTAAGTGCATGTGCAGGTGAACATTCAGTGTTGTTCTAGCGTTGGCAGTTTGGAGTGTCTAAAAATGAATCATGCATGCTAATGCACTTTTTGAGTTTTTGCAAAGGAAGCTCTTGTGCATACTAATATAAAAAAGCCTATAGGGCTATATTTGTAAAAGCTTGGATCTATGGGTTTTGCCCAAGATAACTTTATACATAAATTGCACATTACTACAACCTCTACTTGAGATAAATTTCCATGCACATCCATGTTCTTGGGATGAATCCTTTATATCATACATGTATAATTTAGGCAGAAATTTATCAAACTTCTTTGTGTCCTCTTTGACAAAGGGGAAAAAATGAGAGCGGTAAAAAAAAAGCTGAAGCAATAATGTTGCAAAAAAAAAAGTCAGAAATCAAACTATCAATGAATAAATCATATCACAACAAACTACCCTAGATGTCTTACCAGTAGGCAAGCCAATTGACTTAAAAAAACATTCATAAGTCATTCAGCTTCTTTTAGATGAAACACGGCCATGAGGGAGTCGACACAAAGTGCAAACATCAGGATTTAGAATTTGCACATTTTTATGACAACTTCATAGTACCTCTGCTACAAGCAACAAATCTAAACAGTAACAGTGGCACCTGTCTACATTTTAAAGCGTATTAAACTACAGCATGAAAGACAAGCATAAAAAATAAAAAAAGTAAGCCACAATCCACAATAATCGTAGAAGTAAGTTACTCAATGTAGGCTACGGCTTTGACATTGACTAGAGAATCTCTCCCAAAGCAAAAAACAAGCAAAACAAACAAAAAACAAGCAAAAAACAAGCAAAAGAAAAAAAAAAGCAAAGACTATCACTACTTCTTAATATTAATATGTAGATAGTCTGACTATCATAATAAACTTCATGACTTCTCATAAATTATAAATATCTATACCTAGAAGCAGTCCCGAGTGAAAGTCAGCATATTATATTCCCAAACACTATTGAAAAACATGACCTTTCTTGGGGGGGAGGGGGGAGGTACATTATTTCTCAACCCAAGAAACACCAAGCACAGTGCAGTCTATAGGCCTATAGTCTGCCCGCATAGATCAAGCCCAACTCTCTCTGTCCCTGCTGACATTTCTCATCCCTTCCAGAAAGAAGCCAAAATGCTTAGAAGAAAGGTACAATAAAAGGAAAGCCCTGTTAAGGCCCCGATGATTACTATTACTATCCTAATCCTACCCCTACACTCCTGTCTCTAACTCTGCTTCTACCATTTTACCCTAACCCATAAAGTTACTATTGATATTACAGTACCTTGGGGGCCAAAATTAACCTGAATTAATGCTGCAATGAATATCTAGTTGTGTGTAACGTAACGTTACTTCTTACATTTGGTTGTCATGTTAAGATGATAGTGTTGATATCTCTCAGGATTGCTAGCCCATACTTTTGATAAGTCCTTTCCATGAGTGTGTGAACTGGCCTTTACCATTCAGGGTTTTTAAAATAAGATTCTGAAGCTAACCAAGCAGTACTGATCTACATAAGCACCTTTCCCATACATACCTATGATAGTTGCTGTCAGAAGTGTAAGGAATAATTAATGAGAGATGTACACAAACAACAACAACAACAAAAAACAAAAAAAAACCCCCCCAACACACATGGCCTCTGGAACAAGTGCTATTATATAACAGTATATTTTACGCTTTGTGAATCACTCTAGTTTCATACAATCTGGCGAGAATAAGTCCCATTCCCAGTGCTAGAACAAGACATACTGTTGATGAATATACAGGAAAGATTGAAGTACCCAAAATGTAGGGAAACTATAAACACTCGTCTGACAAACTGGCTTCATGCAATACTCTTTTTCTTCTAAACGTTTCCAGTTGTCGGACTCATCTATCTTATCAGACCTTACTGAAATAAAAAAAAAAACTGTCATAGTCATTTTGCTTGCCTGTTTTGTTTTCATTCCAAGCCTGCTTTCTACATTCTATTCCCATCTTCTGTTACGTCTCCCCTTGTTCCCCCTTCCAATATAAAGAAAATAATTTCTATTTTTGAATCTTTGTATGAGACGTGGATTTTAAGTTTCAAGTAAAGATCACCAGCTTTGACGGAATGAGACAGAGTATTGTTAAAACTTAACATGTTCCTTTCCATGCCTAGAGATCCTTAGGAGCACCGTAAAACATTTAGAAATGAACAATGCAGAGACGTATATAAGGCTTTGAAAAAACCTTCTAACCTATGTTTGTCTGTAATTCAAACTTGAACATAAATTCAACTGTAACATTTAAGTTTAAACTGTTGCCAGTCTGATCATAGTTATTGACAGACATCTAAATCAATAAAAATGAAAGAATCCTTTCGCGATTCTTCACATTGTTCCCAACCTGAAAATAAAATCTCTTTTATCACAAGGAATCTTGCAATGTATACATCCTGCGGCACCAGTACATAGTAATTTCGGTAAATAACACATATTTTTTTAAAGATGAGCTACTTAGCAACTGATTCTTAAGTATGAGCTGCTTATAACTGGGGTTATCAATAACCAAAAATACTGCTTTTGCTTCACGAAAAGAAATTGGCTCTATTGCAACAACATAAGGATACACAAATCAACAACATAAACAAAATCATGATTGGCCAACATATCATGAGAAGAAAAATGGGCAAAAATCAATAAAACAGACAGCACTACCACGAAGAAATAGCACTTATCATATCGGACTTTTTCAACCATGAAAACATTAAAAATTCAATAAGATACTGTAGGAAGTCACACGCAAAAGAAAAAAAAAGTGCTACATCATGAAAGGTGCTGAAAGTCGTTCTAAATTAGACACAAAAATTGTATTATACTTACTCTCACAGCTGTTCTGGTTGACCGTCCCAGTAGATGATGTCGTGAAGTTAACTGGACATTCAAGGCAGGCTCTCTGGTTCCTGTCAGGCTGGTACTCTCCCACTGGACACAGCTCACAGCCAGTGTTTTGAACATTGGCTTTTGATCCTGCAGGGCATTTCACTGGAAGAAAGAGAGGACAAAGAAGAAGATGAGTCATTAGAGATAATACTTCGTTTTGGTTTTAGTTAGTGTTTTACTGCATTTGCAACACAATAAGTTCACATAAGTGCTGAAGATTAGAGGTGTTACAAGGGAGTAACAAATATAAAAAAGAAGGAGGAGAGATAAAACATAACTGATTTTTTTATAGGAAAGAAGGAGCAGAATACATCAGAGCACCCACCAATCACCCACAGGTAATAGTAAAACTTCTTCTTGATCACAATACTTGTACTGTAGACATGTATCTACTGTGCACTGGGATGTCCTGCTTACTGCTTGGGTTGGCTCATACAGCTTAATCTGTAGTGTACCTTTGAAAACAGCATGTGACTACTTGTAGGGCAAGAGATGAGTCTACAATCGAAGTATATAAAATATCTGTGTACGTAAAAATCAACTCCACTGTGAGATAAAGATTTTACTGTCATTTACCCTCTGAGCTCTAGCATCAGGCATTGTGAGGCTTCACACATTTGAAAAGCTGAAATCAAGAGAGAAACCAGCAGCTTGCACAAATCGTCTAGTGGAAATGAAGTTTTTAAACGCTCATAATGAGGCAAACACTTCTCTGCTAGAATTGGTCTCTTTGGTCATAGCCATTTCTCCAGTTTCAAATACGAAATATTCTCTGTAAACTAACATGGATGAACTAGTATTATTATTATTATTTTTATTATTATTACCATTATTATTATCATAATTACTATCATTGTCATTCTTCTTCTTCTTCTTCTTCTTCTTCTTCTTCTTCTTCTTCTTCTTCTTCTTCTTCTTCTTCTTCTTCTTCTTCTTCTTCTTCTTTTAGCAGGCATAGACAGAAGAAGAAGAAGAATCATTACTTACACACAGTGCAGTTGTCTGCCGAGATGCTGCTGTCGTCTGGCGTGGTGTAGTCAGAGGGACAGGCCGTGCACACCAGATTCACACCCAGCTGCCTGTAGGTACCCGCGGGGCATGGTGCACAGTTGCCTGTTGGAAGCAGCTGCTCTCCAGACTCACACCCCTCTGTGGAATGACAGGATGAAATGAATGGACCACTGCAAAAATTACTTGTTTATTTTTATTTACAGGTGAACATGCATCCTTCAACAAAAGAGTCAGATGTAGACTTGCAATAGCTAAAGGGTACGGTCAAAATTTTCTAACACCGCCACCCACTTTTGAGGTGAAAAGTGTTTATCATAGACAGGTAGACGTCTTGGACAGTGTTATCATAATACTTTAAAAACACGAGGGGGAAGAAGAAAAATGAGTGTAAAAAGCATGACTGCTGATGTCTGTTTCAGATCTGGCCTTCAAAGAAGAATATTCTTTACCAGGATATCAAGATAAAGGAGAGTCGAATTAAAGTTGAGATGCACTTCTCATCAAGTTAGGGCAATAAAAGTAACATTTTGCTAGAAAAAAAAGGATACTTGTTACTCTGAAAAGAGGACCATAGAGGAGTCTACACCAAAACATCCGCTGATCACTTACAAAGAAAGAGAGTTTGAGAAAGAAAGAAAAGGCCAGGCCAACAGCAACATATACTTTTTTTTTTATAAGTATAAAGAAAGCCAAGACGATGGTGGGTATAAAACAATATTAAGTACAGTAAAACCTACTTTAATGACCATCTATCCAAGACAATCACCTGTTCAAATGACCACCTTCCACTCCCATACTAGAGTTTTTCTTCAATATTAAAATGACACTATTCCTGTGGACCAACTGTCTAAGATTACCACGTCTCTCCTCTACAATAGTGGTTGTCTTGCACAGGTTTGACAGTCGGGCCTACAGTTTAACATGGATAGCTTGAATTCGTCGGGATCTGCCCAATTAGTTCGAGGGATCCATAGCTCGAGGGATATCTTACAAGAGATAAAGAAGAAAAAAAAAGAACCGGGACCGCAGGTACAGTTTGACGGATGCGTGATTTCGAGTCTTCTGTGTTCGACCTATTTGTGTTATATTGTATTTAAATAAACTAAATTAAAAAGTAAACAAAAAGCAATATTTTCATGTAGCCTACCTGAACAAGCAGAAGAAGATATGGACCCAAGTTGACCAGTGGTCTCCCCAACAGGACAAGCTTTGCACTCAAACTGACCCTCTTCATCCTGGTAAAAGCCCAGGATGCAGTCAGTGCATGATCCAAGTGTTGTGCTGTAGAACTGGCCCACTGCGCAGGAGGCTGCTCATGGGGTGGAGGGGATAAGATAGGATAAGATGAGATAAGATAAGGTAGGATAAGATGACACTATGAGATAAAATGCTATAAGATAATATCAGATAAGATTATAAGATTTATTGATTATCCGAAAGATAAATTTGCTGCGGTATGGTGAATACATACACTCACATGCACTCATTAACACCCAGATTCTGACTCTCTCTCTCTCTCTCTCTCTCTCTCTCTCTCTCTCTCTCTCTCTCTCTCTCTCTCTCTCTCTCTCACACACACACACACACACACACACACACACACACACACACACACACACACACACACACACACACACACACACACACACACACACATACAGACATACACTTACATACACTGACAAGCACAGACCAATCTAACTCATTTATTGGGAATACAAACTTATGTCTTCTTACACATCTAACAATGAATGAATAGCTTGCATTGATGATGGAAAGAATGAATTTTTAAACCTGTTAGTAAATTAAGGAATATCTAGTGTGATAAGACATACTTTTATGTGATGATTTTTCAACATACTTTTCTTACTTTAAAGCATATGTTCAAGAACAGCAAGTGTCCATAAACAAAACTCTAAGGATAGAAAGATTTTGGAAAATTGTAGGATATTACCTTTTGACAATACATTCATAATTCCAAATTTACTTCTTTCCCAAACCAAGTCTCTTGAACTCCTTTTGAATATAGCAGAAGACAAATTGCCATTAAAAAAGTTTAATAAAGCATTAGTATAGTACAACAAACCAAAAACTCTTGCAAAATGGCAAACATATTAAAAAATATAAATATTTGAAACATAAAACAATCTACTCAAAGATCCATAATTCAAAAGGAATGAACAGTGGGAAAACCATTGTTTTTCTGTCTCATTCACCTGCACACAAAGATGGGTTTTCACTGCCCACTCTCTGTGTGGTCTGCCCCACTGCACAGCCAACACAGCTGGGCTGACCGTAACCTGTCTGGTAGCTGCCCACAGGGCAGTTGTCACAGTGCACGGTGGAGCTGTTGTAGAAGGTGCCTGGGCCACAGGACACTGGGGAAGGTGGATAGTTTAGTTTAGTTTCTTTGTCAGAGTTTTACAGCACTTGCAACACAAAGTGACTGCGTAGTGTAAGGTTCCGTCATATGTAACGTTTCAAAATGGCGCATTGTGGAGTTTTACACTATGCAGTTGAAATACAGTTGAAATCATCCGAGATGACTACACATTTTCCAGAACAAAAGTAGTTGTCATAGACAGGTAGATGTCTTGGACAATGTTATTGTAATTTCTAATTAAAAAACAAAAACAAATGGGGAAGTGCAGGACTATGGTCATTTGTACACATGACTGTCTTGGAGAAGTTGCTGTTAGAGCAGGTTCGACCGCATATCGCCGAAGATTAGAGGTGTTACTACAAGAGAGTAATATGCAAGAGTAAATGAAGGAGATATAAGAATGACAGATATTTGATAGGAAAGAAGGAGCAAACTATATCGGAGCATCTGCCAACCACCCACGGGGATAGTGAAAAGAGAGGGTTTATTTCTGACCACAAGCCTTTAATCAATATTTGCATTTTTGTTTTTGTTTTTTGGTAAGAGCAAAGTTGGTGCTTTTTTACTTATGTACTTTACATTTTCATCCTCTTTTGCTGTTAAGGGTTGAGGGGAGATGCAGTTTTTTTTATGGTAGGCAAGCTGCAGTGCTTTTTAATGTTGTTTTTTAATGCCCTGATCAGCTCAATTTTAGATAATTTAGGAAAAAAGATTCAACATTACCTGTCAAGGCTAACCAAGGATGAGAGGGATACAACATCCCAGCAGAAACACAGTGATACTCCATAAAAAATTAAGGCAAGTAAGAGAGGCACCATATTATAATTATAAGCCACGTGGGCTGAGGTTGATAGAAAAGTGTCATGCAAAATGCGACACCAATGTACTAACAATACACACATATGAATTACAGGTGTGTTGCAGCATATATTTGGGAAAGTTGGAAAAACTCCACAATGATGTCCATTTCACCTCAAGCTAAAGAGACTAGGATAAGTTTGGGGTCTAAGAATCTCTTTCACTTCGAAAAAACTTTACCGCAATTTTCAACATGTCTATATAAAAAGTCACATGCCACTCCTCCAGATATAGATGTCATAAGAACTGAAACAATGAAGAGTACAATTATCAAGTTTATTATTCAGTGAGGTGAGAAAGAAAGCATAATTAGAAACAAAATAATTTTATCATTATAACAATAATAAGACTTGTAACTTATAAAACAATCACATACAACAAAACTATACAATAAAGACCTACCACAGCTCTCAGCTCTCACAACCTATAACAATAATAAGACTTGTAACTTATAAAACAATCACATACAACAAAACTATACAATAAACACCTACCACAGCTCTCAGCTCTCACAACCTGACCAGCAGGACAGACAAGGGATGCAGAGACCTCAAGCTGATTAGGATCCAACTCAGCTTGAGGGAAGATGTCCTACAAAGAGAAAATGCGATATATAAAAAGTGTACCTTACATGCTGCAATCTTCACTTGAAAAATGCAGACAAAAGAAGATATTTATTATGAATCTGGTGCAACTCATAATGCATCTTGGAAAAGGCAAATTATGTAGTAAATCATACCCGGCACACATGTCCATTGCCAAAATAAAAGAAAAGCAACAAAATTCTGATTCAATAATGTCTGCACAGACAACTCACACCAAGTCAGAAAGCAGTTATATCACTCTAATTTCTTCTAGATCGCATCAGTTACATTACTCTATTTTAACTGTCTGTGAAGTTATTTAAGAAAACATCCTGAGAAAGTCTACAACATCAAACAGTAACAAAATTTACATCTGAAAAGTGAAAGCAAATAACTTAGATTTCAATGAAAAATCTCCAACCAAAAAATATCTCAATGAAATAGTGTGATGTAATGGGAAAAGATAGATTATCTCGTTTACAGCACAAGCTTAACTATATGATCACTCTAGACTGCTCACAAAAACCTATGCCCACCAGCCCGGTACATTTCAGACACATTATATTAAAGCTTGAAAGTGACAAAACTCAAGCATTTTAGTGTCAAACGGTAGCCTTACTGTAAAAGCCAGAAGATCATTGTCCAGTATTTCAGAAAGTAGGACTTGTTGAACAGGTAGCGTCTGAACACCATTTGAAAGCTGAGAGCTGGAATAAAATAACAAAGCAGGAAAATCTCAAATTAGTCTCCCTCACCCCGGATCACCCCTCCTACCCCTCCCTCCCTTCATACTATTATGCTATTTCAATTTTCAAAAAAAACATTATGAATGGACAAGTTCCACACCAGATAGAGGATTTAATATTCTAAGACAATAAGAAAAGAAAACCAAATTAATATTGAAGTAACTAAGTTAATTAATTCTTGTTAACATTAACTCTTTTACAAAAGAAACATAACATTATAAACCTAAACTAATGTTGCTCTGTCATAACCAAGTCCTTTCACCTAAATATTTCATCGTAGTTATGAGAAATTGATTGAGAATGATACCTTGTTCTATGTGATCAAAAGAGTTCTACAGATGACAGCAAGAGCCACACATGAAGTGAATGGTTTTGACTACTTTGTATAAGACAAAAACAGGAAAATAAAGTTATATCATGTACAACACATACTTTTAGGAGCTAACACAGCTTTGGCTATTCTAATACCATCTGTATAGCAGGAAATTGTAGTAATAAATTATAACCTGAAGCTTTTCATTTGTGAGGCGTGCTAATAAAAAAGTTACTTCTCGCAATCCACAAATGGAGATATTTGCCAAAAATCCAAACTAAGGTCAAATTAGTAAATTTTCTATTGATGCCATATTCTTTATGTGTAACATGCCTTTTATTACCTCAAACAGTCAAACCTGTGCAAGACGGAATAGCAAGGAAGACAGATAAAAATTCTGTCTTGGACATTTTTCATCTTAGACAGGGGAATTTAGGGGGAGATGGAGGGGGGGGGGTTCAAAGGCCCAGCCGGAGGGATCAAGGATCGCTTGTCCGATCGGCAAGCAGTGGTCAAAACTTCACACCCCTCAATTTCTATCCTGTCTGAAAATGACATGCAGTCTTACTCACCACCAGTGCTTGCCTTTCATAGGACCGCTGTTTGACCTATTAAAAACTGAAACGTTTGAACATCTCTTTTGCTTTCACCCTTAGCCCCACCCACCTGTGCAACAAGCACAGTCAACCAATGCCACCCCTCACAGCCATCATGTAACAACGTTTCGAGGAACTCTTTTCTCTGGTGGCTGTACAATCAGGGTGGCAGACTTTGGTCAATCTAATTTTACCCAGGGAAGTTTCCGTAGTGGCTCGGTACTCAAGCACTCTCACGGGCAGTCGAGAGTTTCTCACCCACACCACCCTGACCATCTGCATCACTCAGGGCTCACATGATGGGGTAACATCTACCCCCAGATTGCACCCCGAACTCCCTTCCTCACCTAGCAGCATGGCCATGGCGATAATTTCAGAGCCAGCGGAATCAAACTTGTGAGTTTTGTTTCAAATCAGGGCTGAGCAGGCAAAGCATTTTCCGTCTTAGACAGGTGAAACCCTCTGACGGGAGAAGATTTTTTTTTCCGTTTCCGCGTTGGAGAGGTTTCTGTTTTACACAGGTAATTAAAGAAGAATATATCAAGGGGGCAGCGGGGAGATTCCGTTAAGACAGGTTTCCGTTTTATACAGGTTACCGTTAAGGCAGGTACGACTGTACTTATAAATTGTAAAAACTTCACCTATAAGCATGACGTATCTATTTCCATAAGGCTTGAGTCCAAGAAGTAACTCATTTTATCAGAATGCTTCATATTTACTCTATGACGAAAAACTCGCAACTAAAACCCTACACTACTAAAAACAAAAATGTAGTTCTTACTCCACATTCTTGAGCCCAATGTTGACAGCGGTCTCTGGCAGATTGTCACAGTTTACGGTCACGGTGATGTCCGAGCAGGTCGTCGTGGCACAGATGTTGTCACTCCACCTCCCTTGCAACTGTGGATCCAGATCAAAACCGTTAACAATAAACTCTTCGTAATAATGATGTACAGGCCGAAGGGCGAGAACCTAAATGGCCGCTGGATTGGAAAAGTAAAGTAAAGTAAAGTAATAATGATGTCTTACTATTAATACTCTCTCTGTAATAATAATCTATGAGTTTTTAATTCACCTCAGCACCTTTCTCCATTGCTGTACAAACCACAAATATATGTATACCTTTTTTTACTAAACATTTGTACTTTGTGTTCAGTGATAAAAAAAAGGCAAATCAAAATGTATCACAGAGCTCCCAACTAATCACATTTATTGTTTTTCATTTTTTTCTATAAGTCTTTGCAAAAAAGAAGATCACATCAATGACTTACTGTAATTTCCTCAACCTACAGAGCATCTAATTTTCTTAAACATTTTTTTTTGTTTTACCAAAGTTTAGGAAGATCTTTTCCCTTTCTCCCAATCACAGGCCATTCCCAGAGGAAGAGAGAACAGTTCTATTTTTAAAAAAACGGAAGCATATTCTTAACTAAGTTACCACTGAAGTCAAAATCTACTTCTCTCGTGTGTTCAGAGAACAATTTACCAGAATGTACTCAAAGGTGTTTTTCAGCATGACAAAAACAAGTCTGATATACTGAAAGACTATAATTTCATAATCCTCAGAAAGTTCAGCAAGATAGTAGCTAATTTCTAAAGATAAAGACTCACACTGACAATAGAAACCCCATAATATGATAAATATGTTAAACGAAAGTAAGAAAGACGACGTCAAGCAAAAAAAAAAAAGGACAAAAAAAGACCCTGGAAATTTGATGACTTAACACTTTGCCCCCATGGGACGTCGATTGGTGATGGTAAGAAGTCGTAATTTTTCCCCACGGGATGCCGATCGGCGACTGAGTGATATAGCATGTACCGCATTTGCATCCTGGTCCATGGGGATAAGTGTTGTGCGCTCTGAGCGCTGCGAGGGTGGATAGTGTTAAATCAAAGGAAAAACAAGAACCTGACGATTTAAATGAAGATGAAAATAATAATACTCTTACACAACATACCTCTGCTATCTTTTGAGGAGCTATCAGAGCTATAGCATCTTTAATGTCTGTACACACAGGCGTGTCAATCTTGTACTTCAGACTGATGTCCACATCATTTTTGGCAGCAGCAACAATGTCTGTTCAGTAAGAATTTCAATCTTTATACAGCTTGACTTCACAATGACAAGCATAATTTCCCCATATGTCATAATGTTCAAATGCCCCAACCCTAGAAAGCAAAATTTTTCAGATGATAGAGAAAAAACTTTATAACAATAATAAATAATAAATCGCATTTGTATCGCGCATACCTCAGCTCAACAGCAAGCTCTATGTGTATTACCCAGCAGACCATAGACCACTGACAGAAGCATTCTCAGCTTCCCGGGAAGCATACAGTGCAAGCAGCTAAATAAGTGCTCAAACACTAACATATTGACAATATATTTCAAGAGCTTTTAATTCTTTTACAATTAGTTCCTACTTTGTGTATTTCCGGCATTGAGAATTTAAATTTTGACCAAATATTTCATAGGTATATGGAACCGATGTCACCAATGACACTGTCTAAGAGGACCACTAGTCCTTTCGTCTCTTCTTTCTGCCCCCACTCCCTCATCTCCTTTGCCCCCCCCTTCTCTGGGCTCCTGATTCTTTCTACAGCCTTTCTACTACTTCTCCTTGGCTTCTTCTTACTGCTGTCTTTCAGCCATACCCCTGATCTTCTGGTAGAAGATCTACACCTAGCATTCCTGGACAAGGGCGAAAAATCTCGGAGACCACATGTGCAAGTTGCGCATGTTAAAGATCCCTTGGTGGTCTAAAATCGATAAGAGTAGGCTTCGGCCACCACCCGGGCAAAATTCAAAATTTCCTACCAACGGAAAAAGTTTAATGTGTCCCGCGCGCTCATATGACCTTATGCAGTTGCGAGCGCCATAAAACACTTACAAAAACAAACAAAAAAAAGGACCACTAGTCTAAGACAACCACTTTTCTCTGCTACAATGGGTGACCATCTTAGACAGTTTCAGCTTTACATGTTTGTAGGGTACAGAAAACAGAATCTAGTCACAACTAGCAAACCATAGTACCAAGTGCACTTGTGACTCCTTAGAAAAAGTGTCAACCCACTCCGCCGAAATACAAAAAAAAATGTATATATATAATCCACATCACCCAGCATTGGCACAACGAAAGACTCATCACTCACTGCCACACGTTGGGTACAGGTTATCAGAGTCCTGCAGAGACTCCCAGTCTCCTCCAGGCCCACAGGTGTACACCACGGGTCCATCGTCCACCAGAGCAAGATTCGGTGTCTGGCAGCCGACTGACGTGGCAGTAAAACCGTTACCCGACTGAGCGACGACAGTGGCTACCCCTCCACCTCGGGGGACATCCCTGGCTGCACAGATGGCCTCTACAATACGGTGATAGGACAAATGAAAAAAGTAGTAAGGTAACATTGAAGATCTTACAAATATTTGGAATATTACACCATGAACTGATATGTCTTCTAAAAGGAGTGTGAAAGCATGTTACGTCTATGATATATGTATACGACATGTGTATGTATTGATATGTCATTAGTATAGATTTAGCATGTTTTCCTGCCAATAACAATTTTTAAAAAAAATTGTAAGGGCAGAAAAAGCTATGTAATTAATGCATTGAGTACTTAAAAACCATAAAATGTATGTTACAAACAGGAAAAACATGACAAATATTTCCATATGCAAATAGAAACATCCGTTATTGTACTATTAAAATGGCTTTTAAAATAAAACAGTAAACACATAATAAGTGAACTGCACTAAAAAACCTGGTATTAAAAAGCTCCAGACACTTCTGTGCAAGTACTGCTGGTATATCAGTGCCCATACAACAGGTATCTCTAGCAATGAGCAGCTGTATTTATCTTTCTCCCTCCCTTCTCCCCCACCTACCTTTGCCACTAACTCTTTCCCCTCTGATTATTTCCACCACTCCCCCTCCTACCCCCCCCCCCCCCCCCCCCAAGGACTGCACAAAGCACATAAGCTAGTTTAAAAAGGATTCTGAAAGGTCTTTGAAAAAACTGTTAAAGAGCCGACAGGTTGCCCAGAAAAATATTATCAAAGATGCTTTTTAATATATAAAAATGCTAATACTGAATAAACAAAAACAATGACTCAAATTTAACTGTTCCAAAGAAGAAAAAAGTGATTCATTTAACATCCCTGTACATAAGTCCATTAGAGCAAAAAAATAATAATTCCCTTACCATTGACAAAAACTTTAAAAGAACAGAAAGCTGTGTTTCCAGCCTCATCCTTTGCTGCATATATGACAGTGTGGTCGCCTCTTGTAAAGTAAGTATCTGCAGACAAAAAATACATAACAATTAATCAAGAAAATCAGAAAATCTACAACTTAGTCAATAAACTGAAAATCTTATAAAAAGGGAGTATCGCTAAAGAGTTTCCCGTTCATTGTAATGTGGATTCAGTGACCATGGTCATACAGCTTTTGCTAACAAAGCCGGGGTAGGTTGGAAAAACAGTATCTGGATATGACATAATGAGACTATGACAATCTATCAAACATCTGTTCTGTGTGTGTACGGACATGACAAGGTCATGCCACAAGGGAATATCTCTGCTTCAAGTCAGCCTCAAAAGCCATAAATCTCCACTCCCCTTGAAAATAGGCTGGTGACAGACTGTGGAGAAATTTATGAGTGAAAAAAAAGGACGGGAAAGTTAAGGCCAAGTCAAAAGATAAAAGTAGAGCATGCCTGAACATGTAAGAGATCAAGGAGAAGACCACGTGGAACCTGGAGAAGAGTCATAAAATTGATGTACAGAAACATGTGAAGATATGGAATAGCATCAAGAGGCTTGCACAGGATAGGGAAAAGTGGAAAGTGTCTGTTAGTGGCTTATACCCTGAACCAAGGTGAGAAAAGCAATCATGATGATGATGATGCCTGAACATATTGCAAAAGAAATATTTCCAGTTTCCACCTTAGTGTAATCTACATTATTCAGAACCATGGGCAGAAACTGGCAGTTAAAAAAACATACATTTCTATTGCTGTGAGACTGATGGCTGAAGCAGAATAATGAGAGCAGAAAACATACCAGACCGTCAGGAACACCAACCAACCACAAATGTATTTTAACAAAATGACCATGGGAAAAGATTTTAAAATCTCACCATGAAAATGAAAGAGTCTCTTCTCCTCAACTTCTTAAAAAAGTATTCTTTCTACACAAGAAGAGTGTAAACAGGAACAGCGGGTTAGAAATAAACATTTTCCAGCATAGATGCCTAATGTAAAAACAATTACGACAAAGACACACAAAAATCACCCTCTTCCCATCCACCATACAATCATAACTACTGATTCATATCTCAAGAAATGCAGCACCTAGACAGGGATGGCTGGTTCCTCTATGAATAAATTAAGTATTGATGGTCTGATTCAAATCTTAAAATTGGAGATCAAGAAAATTCAACTCCATAGAGGTAGATGTAAAAGTGTATTAATCACACAACGGTAGTCTTACTTGGTTGACGAGATGATGTGACGCTGACCGCTCCATCAAAAGTTGGTTCTGTCCATGTGACCAGGGCCTCACTGTACACCGTGGCCACCGAGATGTCCTCTGGGCAGTCCAGCACACCAGGAACAGTTACATCTACATGAAGTAGAAATATACGTTACAAAATATAGTACATTGAGGAAGAATGACCAGAAAGGATAGTAAGGACAAAACCAAGGTCTTTTTAGTTTTAGTAAGGTTTTTACAGCGCTCACAACTGCATAAGATCATTTGAGCGCCAAGAGAAGTCCAAACAAGGAATCCGGCTTACTCTGCTCACCTCTCTAGCCTCAACAGCACAAAGTCTGCTTCGACTATCAAGGCACCCCGGAAATAGCATTTAACAAGAGAGTGACAAGCATACGAAAGAAGTAGAGGAAAAATGACGTTAGTAAGGATGAGAAAGAAAAAGCAGAAGTTCCCCCTATATGTTGTTGCGGCACAGTATAAGCATGACATTGATAAATCAGCCCGTTTACAATTCTACACTGCATAAGAATGTTAATAGCCCCCCTTTGGGAATGGCTTGAAGACACTTCAGTCTGTAGCACTGCCCTAAACCAAGGTCTGAATATAATAATAATAAATAGTTAATAGCATTTGTAAAGCACATATTCCCGCTCAACAGCAAGCTCTATTCACTTTATAATCTTTACCTCAACAGATCCTAGAACACTCAGAAACATTCTCAGCTTACAAGGAAGCATATAGTGCAAGCAGCCAACTAAGTACTCAAACACTCACAAACTGATAAGATCTTTATCTTTTGCTGTCTTCAGCTGTCCATACAATATAAAGCTCCAACAAAATACATGATACGGACAGAAATAAATTCTGATATGATATTGTTGGTGTTAAGGTTTATACTGAAAGGTATGACAGAGTCTAAAGTGAGCCCAAGTGATTTTCATTTCGACATTGGCGTGAAATATAAACTCATTCCTTTCTCCACTCTATTGACTGTTCCAAAACTGAACTTTAAATATTTGAAGAGATTTAAAATCACAGCAAAGAAAAACGACTTTGACATAATCATACACAGTTGTATAAAAACTGTAGAGAACAAGAATCCAAATACAACATGACATACATCCTTTCAGCAATACATCAAGCTCAATAACACCCAAAAGGGATGCAAATTGGGATCATATTCACTGCAGTTCAAGATGATACTGGCAGGGCTAAGAGGATACCAAGATGTTGAGAAGAAAAAAAAATGTATTCCACAAAACTTTACCTCTGGGTAGTCTGCAGTCTGGACTAAGCTGTCCTCGGGGGCACTGAGAGATGGCAGCAGTAGAAGGTCTCTCCACATCCACATTGCCATAGGGTATGACCTCATGCCATCTGAAGAGAAGAAAAAAGATAGAAGGGGATAGCAGTGGTAAAGAAGTAACTGTTTAAAGAAAAAAATGTACCTTGTATTTATCTCCAGAGTGCGCGTATTTGTGAGTGTGTGTGTGTGTGTGTGTGTGTGTGTGTGTGTGTGAGTGTGTGTGTGTATGTTTGTGTGTGTGTGTGTGTGTGTGTGTGTGTGTGTGTGTGTGTGTGTGTGTGTGCGTGTGTGCGTGCGTCTGAGAGTGCTGGCTTGCTCAAGAATGCTCCTGTGATAGGAGTCTGCGAAAGAAAGAATTTTTGTTTTAAAGTATGAAAAAGAATTATTTCTATGTGATACTTGTTTTGTCAATTTCATTGACATGTGCCAGAGTGAACAACGTGAACAACAGATGTCTGGGAGACTGCGGCGTTACCTAAAGACATCTCCCAAGAAGTTGCTCGGGTTGTCATCCACCTGCTCCACCTCAGTGTCAAAGTCCAGAGCCCTGCTCAGCAAGTCCATCCCTGACACACAGCCGACGAAGGGCAGCACGGTGGCACTGTATGTCTGGCTGCCTTCTTTGGCCGACCCAACGATCACTTCAAATCTGAGGAGCAACAATCAAATGTGAGGAATTGTTTAAGTAAAAAGAACAGCTATAAAGATAATGATAATAATAATGATGATAATGATAATAATAATAATAGTAATAATAATAATAGTAATAATAACAATAATAATAATAATGATGATGATGATGATGATAATAATAATTATTATTATAAGAATAAGAATAATAACAATTTAAAAAAATAACAACAACAACAACAACAACAACAATTTTTGCATTTATATAAGGCACATCCATGCTCTACAGTGTGCTCTATGTGCAATACAACTATACTAGCAACCAAAAAAGGCATTGTGTAAAGATTGTGTAAAAAGTCTAATCTTTTGAGTCTTTACGTGAACATCCAAGTCAAAAAATAGAAAATTGGTATTTTTTTCCCTGACCACGTGGGACAATGTGGCAGATTTTTTTTCTGTTCTTTGTTTTTTTTATGAAGTCCAGGTCTGTCTTTTTCAAAAGCTGCTATAACATTTGATTATTGTCACCCTAGAAAGATGGTAGGTTTAATTCAACATTAGAGAAATTGAGCCATTGATATGCTCTGCACATTTCTGTTGTTGCCAGGACATTCAACATCAACAGAAAAACGGACGTAGCCTCCTTACCCTCCTCCAGCAAGTTCCAGGCCCTGTGAGAAGCCATTTATCTGATGGTGGCGGACAAAGTCGATAATGAAGTCTATATGGCCAGTGTCTCTGTCCCATGTGATGATGACGTAATGCCAGTTTCCATCGTTGATGGGTTTGAATACGTAAGGCAGCAGAGGGGAAGGGTTCAAGTTCAAGCCAGATGAATCCAAGGTAAAGATGAGGATAGGGTTCTCATCAGCGTATCCGGTGCTGTTTTCAGAGAAAACATTTTCGTTTCATCAACATCAAGTACCATGTACACATGTACAATATAAAAGGTGTTTATCAGCATTTTAGGAACAACAAGTAGCTTGCAATCAAAGAGAAGAAAAGGAAAATGATTCCTGTGATAACGATTTTTTTGATAATTTAAATTCCATTTCACTCTCAGCTTAAAAAATAATAAAGTAATGCATAGTCAGAGGCAGAAAATATAGCATTTTATTGTTACTTACAGTAATAGACTAAAAAAAAGAACAGGAAAAGTTTGAAATTCAAATACAGCTCTTTTTGGAACAAGTGGCTGATGAGGCATATAACGCAGTGATTAGATTTGGAGGTGTATCAATCTCATGAGTACCATAAACACTAATAAAAAATCTCCAGTTCAAAAAATGAGAGGAGAATACAGCCTGGAACCTTAGGATCCATCTCCTACCATTCCTTTGTAGTTATGTGAAAACACAGACGAGGATGAAGTCTCATTATTTTATCAGTATCTCACCTTGAATAATACACAGACAGGTAGGTACCCTGGGCCCCAGGCACTGAGTATTTCACCCACAGTTTCACCGTGAAACCTCCAGTATTGTCATACGGGGCAGGATAAGCCAGACTGGCTCCACTAGCATCGCTCGAAGGTTGAACACAAATATCAAAACTTTCGTTTACACCTGAAACAAAGAACAAAAAGTTGCCATGAACTGTTTGTTGTTTGAAGTCTCTGATACCATAAATGAGTAAGTGTGTATGTAAATACAGTTTACTAGCAAGCAACTCAAGCAAAAAATGTACCCTTTTAACACTTTACAAGCATAAAACAACTCAAACACCCAGTTCAATCAGTAACAGATATAACACCATCATGGTAGCAATTACATAATCCTTATGCTGCTCTTTATGTGAAAAAGATGAACAGCATAAAAAGGTCTTAACCTATTACAAAAAAAGTATACACGTTCATTTGTATTTCAAAATCATCCTTAGGGCTCAAATGACTTCACAATAACACCCTTAGATGGCTTGCCCACAACAATTTGGTTCAAAAGGAGATTTTTAGCACTGCAGCATGTTACCATTTAAATGTTCAATCTCTACTAAGAACCCATTGGCCACCGAATGAAAAGAGGATATAGAGAAAAGTACTTTTCTTAAAAGCGTAATATCTGACCCAACCTGAAGATGCCTAGAATCTGAAATGCAACATTTTTATTGCATGTTCAACATCTAATTGCTTGACTTGAACATGGTATTGAGTCAAAGGGAGGCCAGTAGCTACATGACTAATGACAACAGTAAATAGAAAAATCAAACATTTACCTTCAGTGCAGGAAGCACCAGTGTTTCCCAAAGGACAGCGGCAGAAAGCTTTATCGAGACCATCAATGCATGTGGCGGTGGGTGGGCATGCAGTAGTGTCACAGTTGTTCACGTGAGACTCACAAAGTTTGCCCGTGAACTCTGTAAACCAAATTAGCTTTATTAAAATAAAACAACTTTTTGAGATATAAAAATATGTAGAGTTAAGTACAAAAATGAAAATAACATACAAAACTGAAAAGCAAAGAATGTGAAAATATACACTCCTACCAAAAGTAATCGCGCAATACTTTCCAAAGGGTACAGGAAGACAAAACATAATGATTTTTACAATGTGCAGCTTGGACACATTAGTAAAGCTTGATAAAATTTGAGCAAAACTCCGTAAAAATATTTGTGATTTAAAACCAAAAATCACTGTCCCTGATGATGTAATTCTCATCAGTACATCAAATATAGATGCTTGACGGGGGAAGTCTCCTTCTGGTCTGCTCTTTCTACATCTTTGTGCAATGTTTTTATCGTCCTAATCTGTTTGTTTAAAAAAGTGGTATTCATCAAGCTGTGTGCAACAAATTAGCAACAAAACTAAAGATTAGCAAGACTCAAAGCCTCAGTAAAGATTCAAGTCTCAGTCAAGAGTAGGTTCGATTGGTCAGGAGAACGAGGGTGTCAGATGTTCGGGAAGGCCTACTCGAGTCTCAGTCAAGACTCAAGTCTCAGTCAAGACTCAAGTCTCAGTCAAGACTCAAGTCTCAGTCAAGACTCAAGTCTCAGTCAAGACTGAAAGCCTTAGTCAAGACTCAAGTTTCTGTCAGGATCTCAAGCCTCCATCAAGACTTTGCCTCAGTCAAGACCTAAATCTAAGTCAAGATTCAAATCTAAGTCAAGATTCAAGTCTCAGTCAAAACTCTTAAGTCAAGACTCAAGCCTAAATTAGGACTTGGTCTCGGTATAGACTTGGTCTCAGTCAAGACTGAAGCTTCAGTCAAAACACAAGTCTGGGTCAAGCCTCAGACCTAAGTCAAGCCTACCTGAGGGACAGTCACACTGCGGAGGTGAGGATGGAGGTCCAGAGCAGGTTCCTCCATTTTCACACGTAATCTGACCACAGTCAAAGATTCTCTGCCTTTCACAGAATTGACCGTCATTATCTAGGAAAAAAAAGCAACTCAAGATCAGTATTTTTGCTTAAAGAATAGCAAGTGCAAGATATTTCACGAGACGGCTAAACAAGAAAGGGAGGCCTTGATTAACCCTATCTGTACGCCCTGGGGTAATTTTGTACCCAAGGGGTTGTATTCTTCACATTTTAGAATACTTCTAGTACGAAGATCTGTTTGAAACTTTCATAAGTATTTCTAAAACAATCGTTTTGACAGACTGCTATGCAAAGTGTACAGATCGGATTAATGAGTAAATTTCCTCTTTGAAAGTGGTGGCACAGAGTTCCCCATGTCATATGGACACAATAGTAAAACACAATGTACGGATAGGGTTAAGGCTTAAAATTAAAATGAAAACTGCAGGGAAAATCCATGAAATCCGCTCAAAGAAAGATTTCCTTTAAGTTGATAGCAGGTCAAATTCCTCCTAATGTTGTTGATTAATTGTGTTATGTTCATCACAGCATATATATTTTTGCTTATAGTACTGTGACCCCTTTCAAGTCTTTCAATGTGGTTTCAATGGGATACAGCATCCCAGCAGACAGACAGCGACACCTGATAAAATTACTTCTCCACTCAGGAATCAAACTCAGTCCTCATGTGTGCAACAGCAAAAAGCTTGATTGTTACACCAGACATTAATACTTTTAAATATGAACTCAATAGCCTATCACCATTTAAAGTGGATAATGATGTTATGTTTTATAAATTATTACTGTTTCATTGTTCACACTGCTATGAAACAAATCTCCTTTGCCTATATTAAGTTAACATCTTCAATGTCTTCTGGGCACAAAAACCTAAAAATTTATTGATGCTAGGTCAGAAATCTATGAGTGTTCATCACTGGGCAAGATTTTATTTGGCTTATATAAGCTTCTTGAAGAACTTTTAGTTAATGTTTGCTTGAACTCGATAGAGTACATTTAATCATATGTAAAAACTGAACAAAATCCCCTAAAATCGTTATGAGAACAGTGTACAAGAAAAAAAAAAGATTACCTTCTGAGCATTTACATTCAGCAGTATAGGCACTTTGCTGCACACAGGTGGCATTATTTGAACAAAACCCGAGAGACTCGGAGCAGAAGTTTGGCCGGTCTTCACATAAATCCCCAAACGTCCCATCAGGACAGCTGACAATTGGTAGAAATAAATAAGACAAAGCAATGATATATAAATAAATTTGGACAATGAATTTTTTAGAAAACACCAACATGATATATCAGATCACAGGACTATGAAGTTAAAGTTCCAAAAAATAGTGGAGCTGTTACAACATTGCAGTGGGTCAAAAGGATATTGAACCCCAAAGCTGCTTGATAAATAACAAAACCAACAACAACAACAATAACAGCAACAAGGCGCTATAAACATAGTGAAGCACTGGCAAAAGCACTGTGCTAACAGTGTGATACAATGCCACATGTTTCAGCTGAATGCCCTATTGTGGCAAATTGCGATACTACAAAGCTGCCGGCTTGACTACTTAACAATAGAATTTCAGCCATCAGTTGACATCTGACCCTATAACGAACAAAGAAAAAGACAATTGTGTACCTGACAAACAACATACAAGTAGGAAACATATAAAAAAGGACACACATACACACATTCACACACAAAGAACAAGTACCTTCTAAGTATGCGACGTAGGCTACAAATAAAAAAGACACACACAAAAAAGAAAAAAAACAACAACTATCATTACCTGCAGAAGACTCCATTGAAAAGGTCAAAGCAGGGCGCAGCATTACTGCAAGTGCTTAAGTCACACTGCGAGATGACGGTTTCACAATCTCGGCCTGTCCAGCCTGCCACGCAGTTACAGCTGTAGTCGTTAACCCGATCCGTGCAGAAACCACCATGCAAGCACGGGGCTGCCAGACAATCATCAATGTCCTCCTGTGGTTTTTGAGTTTTCATAAATGATTTTAAAAAATTGAAAAGCGCACAGAAAAAACGGGCACAGTCACAAAAAACCCCCAAACAAACTGAAAATCGTGAGGGTTTCAATCTTTAACGCTTGTTGACTCATAACTGTATTTCTGTTCAACCGTAGGTTGATTATTGTTGTTTGATTTCCCATTCAACAAACAAAACAAGAAACCACCAGTCAAACAAATATAATAAGAAGTTATGAGTAAACAAGCTTTTAAAATTTACACCTTCACAATTTCCAATTTGTGACTGGGTCCGTTTTTCTCGTGTGCTCCTTAATTGTATTTTTCTCTACAAAGCAAAGGACTCCAAATACAAGAAGCGAACAACTGACAATGTAACTTGTTTTATATTTAGAGCACTGTGTACTGTCCTGGTCTTTGCCTACTACACAAATAACAACAAGAAGTTAAAAGCTTTGAGCGAAAAGTTACTTATAACACCAAGCACAGTAAAATATCACCCACATTGCAGTCAGGTCCAGTGTATCCTGGATTGCAGACACAGCTAAACCCATTGACCAGATCCTGGCATTGGGAGGTGCCGGGATTACAGGTGGCTTGGAGACAGTCATCAATATTTGTAGCACACACAGGACCTGAAAGTGATCGGATATATCAAATTACAGATAAAACTCGGAGACTTGAATTATCACGAGGATTTCTGGACTATTGATTTGTTTAACTTTGTTTAGTACTAGGAGTCAGTTTATATACAGTGGAGTGCGCTTAAATTGAAATCCGCAGGACAACCGAAATGTCTTTGGAGTGGACAGGTTTTCGAAAGAGAGAATTTACTTATATAGAAGAAAAAAGATGCAGGTATTTAATTTTCTTTTAATTTATCCCTGTTTTTTGGATCAACCATGATCAGTTTAAGTGGATTTCATTGTACATTAAAAAAACAGCACTGAAAAAGAAAAATAACAATAATTGAAGGAAGTGCAACCAGGTTTGTCTTATTTGGAAGAAGTAAACTACACCAGATGATGTTACAATCTCTCGTAATTAATGGGTTAGAACGGGAAAAACAATCTGTCTGTCCTGATTTCTCTCTTTCTTCTTTGAAAATGAAAAGTGACAACCATGGCTCGTTTCTTTAATTATTTCATTTTGAAAACTTTTTGGAGTGCCCACATCTCTAGATCTCTCTAGATCCTTTTCCACTACAATTCAGGTTCTTAGTAAAATTTTTATACATTTACCATCAAAACATGAGGACAAAATAATTATCATTCAGAACACAACTCAAATCTTGAGGTAATAGAAGTGGCTAAGATATGCTCATTTCATTTAGTGATAAAAATTTAAAAGCATAACAATACAGATGGGCAAGTAAGTGCATCAATTTGACCTAGGGTGGTTCCTTTTGAGCAATAGTTAACCGTAAGTCTCAGCCTGGGATGAAAGCACCAGGATAACATGTGTCACAGCATGGTGGATTAAGGCTCTCGTCATAACAAAGAGATCAAACAACCAACAATTTTCCACCTATTGGGCAAATTTTATTGAATTTTTAAATTTTGGGCTCACCACCTCTCATACCCACTTAAAAATGCTTTTCTGCGTGGATCTTGTTGAACAACATTGATCAAAGGCACAAAAAAGGTAAATTTGCAGTTTACAAGGATACTCAAGAAAATCAACAAACTTTGGTGGCTATTTTCTCACTTATTTTTACCTCTGACATCAAGTGACCCCCCCCCCCCCCCATCTCCTTCAATTGCAAATATCTAGACTTCTACTCAAGATAGATGGATATTTTATTCATTAAAATCAAGACAAATGAACAAGCTTAACCCTCGTCCTGCGGGAACCGGGTTTATGTCGCCCGATAAGCCTATTTCGGCACCTCGCCTACGTTCTGGTCCCGAGTCAGTGTAGCTCCTAGCTCAGCGCACGCGCAGCGCGCATCCTCTTACGTGTCATTCGGGTCCCGAGTCGGATCCCCATTCACCCAGGTTAAGTGTGTGTACGTCAGTCTGCTTGAGTTTGTGTGTGCTTGTGGCCTTCTTCTAGAACAGCCTGCGTTGGTTCGTAATCGAGGCACACGTCTCATTCAAAACATGCCAGGTTGATAGCTCTAGATGTTCGTCCAATGAAATTATAGAAGAAATTGACCCACTTGGCCATGAGGAGCTCGAAAGGATAGTCAGGAAACAAGACTTCCATTTTTCTATACAAAATCTTTCAAATGAGCTTGATTTTGTATGAAATGATACTACCTGATAAAAAATAAGCTTGTTTGATAGTTTTGAATACCATTGTGCAGGTACAAAGAACAATTTGAGTGTAAAACATTCGGAAATTGACCTGTATTTTCCCCTTTCGAACCTCAGGTCATTCATAACAACAAGAGCTTCCAGAAACATTATTCGAATGGGCGTAACTACTCGTAATGTCTTATCAGCTTGTGAGAGGGGGTTATTCATGTGTTTGTAACAGTACACACTGAGTGACCCCGGTGGCCTGCCAGGCACGTCCGACTTAATCGGTTGTTGATAAGATTCGCATCTCAGCACAGACACAGGACAAGAGTTAACCTTTAAGATGACACCAACAGCTTCATGTGCCCAAAAACTGACGACTGCCTGATCCATTGCGTTGTGACACATATAGATATTTTGAGATCATTTGAGCTGAGAAATGAGTGGAAAGTCATAATCACCAACATCTGTCTCAGATTTGGCACTTGAAGAAGACACTTTTAGTATATTAATATACCTGTAGAAAGTAGACAATAAACTTAACTCTAAATTAAAGAAAAAGTCAGTCAGTACCTGTAAATCCTGGGGCACAGCTGCAAGAGAAACCGAGGAAAGTATCAACACAAGTGGCTCCATTCTGGCATGCCTGTGGCCCTGATACTGTGAGGCACTCGTCTATTTCCCGCTGGCAACGGGCTCCTTCATACCCCTGAGGGCACTGGCAGCGGTATCCAGAGGGCTCGTTTCTGTCATTGACGCACGCACCTCGCTCGCAAGGACTCTCATCCTGGCAGATATCTTGAGCTTTACACAGCTGCGTTCCTGAAGCTGGTAGGAATAAGATAAAATAAATAGAATATTTATGATAGGATTAGACAAAACAGGTGCAAGACAGCATGAAAATAAATGAGATAAGATAAAACACTTAAGACACGAAAATACAAAATATATAGAAAACATAAGATACTTGCTCATTTCGAAATCATAATTTCCAAACAGCAGCCAATACCACATAGTTTCATGGTACATGAAATTTTTAAAAAGGTTTTCATTCACTGCCAGACCTTTCAGAGGTAGGATTGGTAACAACAGGACAAAATTAGTTCGGTGTCACAGTGATAACCAGACACTATGGTAATCAAATTAAAGATCTGTTAAAGCTTCACATGTGGATGATAACAGTATTCACTTAGCTGCTTTGGTTCCAAAAGTATAGTCACTGACACTTTGGGATATAGATGCAGACTGTTTGGGAAAAGATTAAGGTTTTGCATATCTTGAAGTAGTGGGAGTGCAACATGCAACTCATTTTGTAATGTTGCTATACATATATATATATATATATATATATATATATATATATATATATATATATTAATTACAAGAACGAGGTAATCTATAAGATAGAGGGGCAGACTCCATTTTGCTTTCTCTTAAAGCTTTAGTAAAAAATGGTGAAGACAATAGAGAGGAAACCTTCAAGCTGAGCACATCCACAAGTGAAAATGAAGCTTTGAAATATTCAAGAAATGTGGCAGACTCTCCTCTGCCAGAATTGGTCTCAAAGGCCACAGCAGAAACTGCAAGTCATCCTATTCTTTTTTTTTTGGTCTATTTCGATTAAGAAAATACATTCTCATCTTCAGATGCATTGCTCATTGACAGACATTGATGGCTGAATTATTATCATTATTACTGTTATTATCATTATCATTATTATCATTATCATGATGATGATGATGATGATGATGATGATGATGAAGATGATGATGATGATGATGATGATTATTATCATTATTATCACTATTAATCATATCGCATATTGATCATTATCATCATCATCATCATCATCATCATCATCATCATCATCATCATCATTGTTATTATTATCATTATTATTATTTTCATCATAAAGCTTTAGTACCAAGACAGATAAAGCACTGCTCACCTCTACTCCGTGCACAAAGAAATCGAACCTCCAGGTCAGCACAGGTCACTCCCGGCCCGTCTGAGCAGTAGACCCCGGCTGTACCACAGCTGACAGCACTAGGGAGAGCTCCGCCATTCTGCAGCCGGCACTCAGCACTCAGCGGGACCGAGTCCTGAACAATTGCCTGGCACACAACTTCATCCAGCTGGGAGAAAGACAAATCAGGTTGGGGGGGGGGGGGGGGAGGAATTCAATAAGATAATTAGATAAGATGCATCTTTATTGTCCAGATTCTGGCACACAACTTCATCCAGCTGGGAGAGGGAAAAACCCGTTTAAAAAAAAAAAGATTATAAGATAAGATACATCTTTATTGTCCAGATCCAGGCACATTGCTTTGGAGTTTCACCACACATGCACGCATGCACATGTACACGCACACACACGCACACGCACATGCATGTGTACACCCATATACACACACACTCTCTCACACATCTGTGCACATAACCATTATAATACAATAGTATCATAGGTAATATAGCTACTATTGAACGAGGTTCTTTTCGTGATGGTTATACATATTTTTTTGTGTGTGTGTGTGTTTATGTTTTTGCTTTTTTGTTTTCTTTCCTTTTTTTTGATGTCTAAAGTGGTGTATTGCCATCATCCGATTTCGATATGTGATGCACTTTTTTGAGTCAGTAGAGTTTAAATTTTCTTACTGAAGTGTACTTTTCACAAGTTAAGTCAACCTGCATAATTCACAAAAATTAAACTCAATTTTCATAGCAAAGCACACAATCCTTACAGTCTGACCATGGCCATTCTTTTGTGTTTCTCTTTAAAAATCCTGAGATAACCCAACATTGGTTCTAAAGTTAACAGCTTTGTATATGTTACATGTATAAAAAAAATGTTTTCCACCAGGGACAAGAATTCCTTGCCTTTCATGCAGCAATAAGCCATTTTGCAAATTTGGGAAAGAGATGACATTCATTTTGAAAATAACTCAGGCAGTTAGTCTGATAGTTGCTCTTTGACTCTGAATTTGTACACAGTTATCTCTAGTTCTCAGCTGACAATATTAGAAGTAATCTTGAAAACAAACTCCTAGATGACAAATTTGTCTACAATATTCAACTTCAAAATGTCCTTAACACTCTACAAATCCCTTTTTGGAAATGTTTTCAATATAAAATCCCTCAACGAACATCACGGTAACTGCAGCAACCCTGCACTTATCATTACATGACATTGGACAGAAGGGTGAGATCAAGCTGTTGCTGGATTGATCACTACAACAACAACAACGATGACAACAATAGCAAAAAACATAATACCTCCTGAATCTAAGCAATTACAAAGCTTAAGTACCTTAATGATCAGGTCTTTGAGTGTAGAGTTAATTCCACCTCCAAAGTTCCGTGGTCTGATGTAGGGTGAGTAAAATGTGTCATCTGCAAACAGAAAGCATTGACTGAAATCTAAGAGTGAGATATGGAAATGGGATCCTTATTATAAGGAATATTAACAAATATGATCAAATGTCAATCTATTTTTACATTTTTTTATCAAGTTGATAAACAACCCCAAAATTCAGGACCATGACAGTTCCAAAACTGTATAAACACTGATGAAAAATATTTAGTATTGTGGATTGTGGTAGACTGGTAAACCATCAAGTGGTGTTCATATGACCTTATGCAGATGCGAGCGCTGTAAAACCTCTACTATAACTTTAAAAAACCATCAAGTGGAATGGTTGTCATACTGGTCCTGTCGTAGACCGACAAGTAGAGCAGAAACATCTTGGTAGACCGTCATGTGGACCAGAATCGAGTTGTTCTTTATTCACTCATTTTTAGAGGCTAGTAATTTTTTTATAAGCACTTTCAACTAAAAACAGCGAGAGACCCATTAAAAGAATGACACCCATACCTGTGACGTATTCACATGACTTTTCCATGGCTTGAACTCCAGCCCTCTCAGTAAACAGGACAATTCTGGAGTAGCTTTTGCATACACCTTGCAGCTGCCCAGGTATAAATTGAAAAGAAAATCCCACACAGTCACTGGCAAAAACACATTGTGCCTGGCAGAACTTCATAGACATGTTTCTGTTATCCAGCATGTCACCTTCGATTATGTATCCATAGCGTGCAGAGAAAGTACACAGCTTATCTGCAAAAAGATTAATATAAAGAGGTTAACATTGACAAAGGGGTTGCTTCTAGGAAAATGAATGAATGGGATTGCACAATTAGTTGAGAAAAATTACTAGTTTTTCCTAGTTTTCAAGAGACCTATCACCCATGAACATTTGTGAGGCAGTGTGGTGAAATCAGGCGCTCGTCAAAATAATGAAACTGGCATTTTCTACCCGATTTGGCAATATTTATCTAATTTTTGCTCTTCAGCTCAACACTATTTATGTCCATTTAAGAACACATTTCTGTGTGGACTTTTCTGAAAATCTTTATTAAAGGGACAAAAAATGTAAATTTTCAGTTTCCATGGACACTCAAGCTACGGAAATAACAAATTTTGCGGCCATTTTCTCGTTACCTTTATCTCTGACACCAGGCAACCCCCACCTCCTTTTGTCACAAATATCTTGTCGTCTATCCAAAACAGATGTGTGTCTTTTTTTCATCAAAAGAAAGCCAAAAGAATAATCTTAAAGGTAGTACCAATAACTCTCTATGCCCAGAAATTGATGAGTGCCTGATTCTACCACGTCGTGACACATTTTCCTGTAAAAGTTCACTTGAGCCTCCTTTTGAGCAGTCGCTAAATAACAACATCAAGAAAGCATACTGATGGTCCAAACCCTACAAATCAAAATCCATTTTCACAGACAGGAAAACAAAGAGTATTGTTGGATTTTAATGGAAAGATTCCATTTTACCAATTTTTTTAAAAATATATTTTTTTTAAAACCCCCAAAAACCCCAACAAACCTCACATTTCAAAATATTTTTTTTTCATTTCTGAAAGATGTTGATGTGAACCAAAAGTTTTCAAAATTGTTTTCTCACTTCTTCTTTGGAATTATAAATACAAAATATAACAATTCTACACGTTTACACCACATAACTGTCTATATATATATATATATATATATATATATATATATATATATATATATATATATATATATATATATATATCAATAACCGCCCTGAAGGGGCTGCGTTATCCGACCCTTAATTCAAGGAGAGCCATCCCGCAACAGATGTAGGATTCTAATCGAATGAATCCAGAAGTTTTCCTAACAAATGGTAGTTAATTTTTGTAAATACAGTCAAACCTGTGTAAGACGGCCACCCATTGTCAAGGAGAAAAGTGGCCGCATAAGACAGGTGGCCGTCTTAGGCAGAACTGATCAAGATAAAGAAAACAAACCATTCCCATCTGAGGCCCCAATCGAAAGTAGCCCCATTGTTGTTGTCTTTGTTGGTGTTGTTGCTGTTGGTTTGTATTTCGTTTGAAATTTTTATTTTGTCACTGATTTTGCACAATGGTGACAATAAAACGAAATGTATCAGACAAGGAAGACCGAGTGCCATGTTAAAACAAACACATGGGTCGCCACCACTCGGAGAACGGGGGACGCTTCTGTAACAAGTTCATGTTGACGTCCTTTGTTACTTTGTTACAGACTGGGTAAACAGTAACCACTCATCTCACTTCCGATTTGTAAGAATTCTGGGCTGGGCTTATGGATTATGAGGGATCACACGCTAACTCACCTGCAGCTGAAAATTGGTAGCTATTGGTCAACAGTGGGAGGGGCCTACGCAACATGATCGGTTGGAGGGACTACCTAACAACAACGACAGGTGATTGAATTATGACGGCTCACCCACAATGCCAGGGGCCAATGCACAATTTATGACAAAAGGTAATGGATTCACTAAGGTGACCGTCTTAGACAGGTATTATTGCTTAGTATTATAGGGGTTGTGTGTTAAATTTTTGTGGCCGCGGCCGCGTTGGACAGGTGCCCGTTTTACACAGTTAAATTATATAGAAAAAACGCAAGGGGGGAAATGGAAAGTGGCCGTTTGTACAGGTGGTCGTCTTATAGAGGTGGCCGTCAGGGCAGGTTCGACTGTACTTGCCTGTAACATGACCTTTTGTATAATACAGAGGGTATACTTTGACCCTAAAATCTGTCTGCCCATTTGTGCAGGTTGCACGTATAATTCGTGGTGAATTATTCTCAACATGTGCAAAAGCCAGTACTCATCGGAGGAGGACTTCCATTTGACCAGGCCGGTGGCTGGTCGCTTAATTTGTCATTCCGCGTTTTTTGCTCCGTTTATTCGGTTTTCTTGGTCAGATTTTGATGAATGTGGTATGCGATTGTGCATTTTGGTTTCTGCATCGAGTAGGTAAGTGTAGTTTATATTATTAGTTCATGTCTTGTTTTGTTTGATCCTTTTTCGAGTCTAATTTGGTCGTTCGTTCTCTTTTCGTTCCACTTGCCTTCTCTTTAAAAAAATTTTTTCTTTTATTTACGCTACTTGTTTTTCTCCAACTGTCCCCACGAGCGTTCACTCGTCGTTTTGCATACTACATAAAATGTAGTATCATACCTTATCTAAGAACAGTTGGTTTTTGCATTGAAATGGATTTAGTCTGTGAAACTGGAGTGCCAGGTATTCCAATCAAGATGTTGTGATAGGTTGTAGGTAATTGTTCAATGAAAAATCCTATTCAGTGTTACTTCTCCTTTACTGGACCTCTGATCCTGGATGTGTGTTGTTGCACATACACCTCTGGACCTCAACTCCCCCCCCCCGCTAAAAAAAAAATTGCTTGCATTATAGGTGAGCATAAACATGTACACGCATATATTTGCACATGATGTCTCATCTCTGATGAGTATTAAAAAAAAAACAAAAAAAAAAAAACAACCCAAAAGAATTTCTCACTTTCCCCAGCTGGTACATGACTACCGTCACTGACACAATCTTACCTTGAGAATATCCTGGTGAACAAATACACATGGGCACCCCAGTCCTGTAATCATCCTCACAACTCTCAGAGTTCTGACAAGTGTTGGCGTCGCAGCTGAAGCCTGGGAGCTCACAGTTATCGCCGGTGAAGTCAGGTGCACATGTACAGACATAAGAGTTGCCCAAATCTTCACAAGAGCCACCATTTTGACATGGCTGTGACAGGCAGGAGTCTGAAAATGAACAAGTAAGAGATGAACATTAACTCTTTCACTACCAGGGTTTTTTCTTCACCTGGACCAGGCCCTATCAGTGACCTACTTTTTGAGTCTACCTACCCTCAGACAAATTAAAGATTTTCAGTTCAATTTTCAATATTAACCACATGTATTATATATGAAAATAAAGGGGAAATAATGACTATCTCAACATGTTGCTACATTGATCATTCTTCAGCATGAGATTTCAGTCTTGATTATTACAAAAGTAGGACTGATTTTGAAGCAGAAAATGGAGAGCCATGAAACATGGCTCATGGTAGTGAAAGAGTTCATGTGTGTAGAGCTGTGTCACATGTAAGACTAAATATGGCATAAAATTTTATGACGGGTTTGCAAAAGAACTTGCACTGTACAAGTTGTGATGTGTTTTGAAGGATAGTCCACAACGTAAATCAACCATTCTTTTCCGAAGCTTTTTCAGTCCTTTACCAAGATTTCAGAGGCTCTCTTGGCTTTGTCTCATAGTAAATACCAATTGTAAATATTTTAGATCCCTATCATTTACAATTTAAACCATTTACTGTTTCAACCCTGCCAGTGAAGGCCAACCCGAAGTGAGAGAGATACATAGTCTCAGCAGCCAGACTGAGATGACTCAATAAAAATTCTCTGCACAAGGGAATCGAATTGTTAATTTCTTTTGGTTACCCTACAAAGCACTTTTATTCAGTCATGCATCTTAGCATTGGAAAGTGGATGACACTTTTACAAAAACATGATAAAATACTGGGCAATATCAAATTCATAGTTTGTCAAAGAATGACCATCCCTTTCTTTCTTCTTCTTGTGACCCTGTATGTTCATTCTCACCAATATTTTGAGCACATCTAGGCCCACTGTATCCTGGCTTGCAGTTACACACAGCGTAGATTTCATTGACAGCATCGCAGGACTCTGTGCCCACTGGGTCGCAGGCCAGACGATCACATGCAAGAACGACTCGCTGTTCACATCTAGTTGGGAGAAAAAAAAATAAAGCAAGTTGGAGGTCATCACAAACATACCATCATCACATAAATTTGGTCCATCAAAGGAAAATGCCAACTCCTCCCAGCCTGACTCAGCCCAATGACAGAAATATGCAATGTTTGATTCATGATAAGAGATACGTGCTCAACCTGTATTTTTTCAATTATACAAACTTTCTTTTACAAATAAGTGTTTTACATGATGTGATGTGGGCCAATAGCCTTAAACATTGAATAAATTTGCATACTTACTTACAAACCAACCTACCTCTGTCCAGTAAAACCTTCCACACAGAGGCAAGACACTGAGCCAATACGATCTATGCACGTGCCTCGCCCATTACATGTGTCAGGAAAGCAGTCAGGGAGGTTGACTTCACAACGGACACCGGTTGTTCCTAAACACAAATGAAAGAGAGAAGATAAGATCAGTAAGTGGAAGGAAAGATGTGACTTTAAATTAAAAAACAAGACGAAATAAGACTTTCAGTTTTAGCATGAGTTTTACGCCACTTGCTACACAATACGGTGATATAAGTGCCCAAGATTAGAAGTGTTACAAGAGAGTAATGGACACAAAAAAGGAGGAAAGATAAGGACAATAGATGTTTGACAGGAAAGAAGGAGCAAACCACATCAGAGCACTAGCCAACCACACGCTAAAGAAGACTACCCAACTTTTCAAACATTATAGTAAATATTATTGTCGAGGGGAAGATGTCAATCCTATTCAACATGAGAGAGAGAGACAAAAACTGTGACAGAGTATCATTAAATGATCAGGACTAAAATCATGCTTTCCAGTATTTACGGGATTCACACTCCCCGTAAATATACATATCCTCGGCCAGCAGCCCAGAGTTTTGAAAGCTTATTTTTTTGTAGTTTCTGAACCTGTAGTATCAGTTGCAAGTGTTTAAGAAATATTTTTGTTGAAATTCAAATTCTAAATATTGAAGAAAAAAAAGCAAGACAATAGACACAATTTACGCACAACTTCTAAAAGAATTAAACAATTTTTTTTTCTACCCAGCTAAATTTTAATTTCTACGCTTAGAACAGTTTGCCAAAGATATGTCACTTAATAAAAATAATAATAATAATAAAAATAACGATAATAGTAATAACAATAATAATAATAATAAGAGGCCTAATGATAAATAATAATAATAACTACAAAAATAATAATAATAATAATAACAGCTCGTCCGTCAATGTCTGCCGAGGACTAATAAATCCGCGGGGGAGAATATTTCTCCTTCAAATAGAAGTATTTGAAGAATTAAAGGTTACGATGATGTGAGGCCTTCTTCTGTGGCCGATGTGACCAATCCTGGAAAAGAAAAGTTTGCACATATTTTTAACATTTAAAGGCTCCACTACCACACAATATGTATAAGCCCAGCTTGCAGCCCTTTTTGGGAGCACCGTGGCAACCTTACACTTCCTTGAGGACACTCACCAGCAACACAATTACACTTGAAGGTCCCACCAGCGAGAGGCACACAAGGACTATTGTAATAACAAGGGGAAGAAGCACAAGCATTTATCTCCTCCTCACAACGCCTGCCTCGGAAGCCTGAAACATACACAAACTCATTATCTGACATATAGGAGGAAACTATTGTGTCGAATGATGAAACATAATCTGACAACAATCCCTCACAAATATATAAAACCTACTAGGTGCTAAAGGAAAAGTATTTTAAGAAAGAAGTCTTCAAAAAATTGTCTGCCAGAAAGAAGATTAAACATCTGAAGACCTCCACCCCTACTCCTCTCTGAGGAAAATTAAAAATAACTTTCTGAAATGTCGTAACAATTCAACTAGAATGAGGATGTTGAATTTGCAAGTAAGGATTACAATTTGCCTCTATAAATACTTATCTGTTGGCCTGGGTTTGAATTAATGATAACGATAATCATTATAATAATAATAATAATAATAATAATATTAATAATATTAATATTAATGATAAATACATTTATGTAGTGGATATCCACTCTTTGCAGCAAGCTCTATGAGCTTTACAACTATTCTGTTATCTTTGTACATGTCTAAGAATGACTAGGACTTTTAAAAACTTGCATTATCACAATTTATGCATGACAAGGAGATAAAGAAACATCAATACATTTAATACTTTCTGAAGCACAAGAGGCTACATACCAGCAGGGCACTCGCAGTAAAACTGGTGGTTTTCCACTCGACACACGCCACTATTCGCACAGGGGTTTGTGGCACACAGGGTTGAGGCTGAAAAGAAAAAATGTTTCACGACGCCGTGGAATTAGGCGCTCGTCTATTTTTGGACATACAGAGTTATTGGTATCATCTTATAAGTTGGTAATATGCCTTGTTTTCGATGAAAAAATTACCCATCTATCTTCACCAGAAGTCAAGGTATTTGTGTTTGAAGAAAGTGGGGTAGCCTGGTTTCAGTGGTTAAATTAATGAGACGGCCACCAAAGTTTGGAAACTTCAAATTAAGAGTCCTTGAAAACTGAAAATTACGTATTTTGTACCTTTAAAAAAGTTTTTTTTGAGTAAAGTCACATGGACATGTCTTTTCACATGAACATAAAAGGTGCCAAAAAACAAAATTTCAAAAAAAATTGTCAAAAAGGGGGGAAAAAATGCCCTTTTCTTCGATTTCATTATTTTGACGAGCGTCTGATTTCATTGCAACGCGTCAAAAATGTGGTGTTTTTTTTCAAGACCCATCATGTTTCATTGTTCAAAGGAATCTTACGTAAACTGAAATTTCAATTAAGCTTCATTTGAATTCTATTCCATTTCTTGATGACAACGCAAGATATTTTACAGGATCAGAATCTTATGAACATTTACTTGTTCAAGACATTAACATTCTACAGTTTGAAAGTAATCTGTATGATCAGTAATCTGTATCATTACAGCAGCTAACAAAGCAGAATTTCACCCACCGCCATCCACACAAAATGACGACCCAGGGCTGGAGATCTGGTTAGACGAACATTCTGTACACAGCTGGGCACCTGGCGCACTGTAAAAGCCTGCAGGACACGGTCGACAGTTGGGCTCATGGCCTGTCCCAGAGTAGTATCCTTCTCGACATTGTGGGGCACAGAAGCAGGCTGAAAGGGGGGTGGGGGGAGAGACAGAAGAGACATCTTTACTTAACTTTTACTTTTTCATCCTCTGTTGCTGTTAAGCGTCGAGAGGAGATGCAGTTTTCTATGGTAGGCCAGCTCCGCTGTTCTTTCAATTACGATATTATGTTTTCTGAAAAGGCATCAAACCCCACAATTTTAGTTTTTTAGTTTTAGTAAGACAAATAGGTCACATAGGGGCTGAAAACACATATGTGAGGCGTGCTGACAAAATGAGTTACTTCTAGCAATCCACAAATGGAGATCTTGGCCAAAAATCAACACTAGGGTCAAATTAGTAGATTTTCTACTCATGCCATATTCTTTAAATATAACATGTCTTTTATTATTTCATACTTATAAATTGTAAAAACTTCACCTTAAAGGGTGACGTATCTATTTCCATAGGGCTCGAATCCGAGATGTAACTCATTTTGTCAGCACGCTTCACATATCGTGTATAATGCACAGTTTGTCTAAACTGTATCTATGGGGGCAAAAAAAACAAAAAAACATTCAATCACACACCTTCCTGATCATGGCTTAAGCAATTCCATTGTTAGAAGTTGTACTCTGGGTTGGCACTCTTAACTATATCAATGAGGGCATAAAACACTTATAATTAATCAGTCCCCTTCCTGATCATCGCTGATAGAAGTCGTACTTAAGGTTGGCTCTTTCTGTGCCTACTATGTCATGCATAATGCTCATGCATGATGCAGTGGGGAAAATTTTAAGTAAACTTGTAATGCACAGTAAGTCTAAACCATATCAGTGGGGATGTAAAAACAAATACATTCAATACATTCAATATCACTCACCTTCTTGATCATCACTGTGAAGAAATTCTGTAGATATAGAAGTCGTACTCCGGGTTGGCACTTTCTATGCCTACCATGGCATACACAAGGCACAGTGTGGAAGATTTAAAGTAATCTTGCATTGCACAGTGTGTCTAAACTCTGTCGATTGGGGCATAGAAAACAAATACCTTCAATCCCTCACCTTCTTGACTCAAGGTTGGCTTTTCCTGTGCCTGCTTTGCCATGTATAATGCTAATGCATAATACAGTGGGGAAAATTTTAAGTAATCTTGTAATGCTCAGTGTGTCTAAATCATATCAAAGCGGGTGTAAAAACAAATATATTCAATCACTCACTTTCCTGATCATCGCTGAAGCAGTTCCGTTGATAGAAGTCGTACTCTGGGTTGGCACTTTCTATGCCTACCATGGCATATACAATGCACAGTGTGGAAGATTCAAAGTAATCTTGCATTGCACAGTGTATCTAAACTATGTCGATTGGTGCATAGAAAACAAATTCATTCAATCACTCACCTTCCTGATCATCGCTGAAGCAGTTCCGTTGATAGAAGTCGTACTCTGGGTTGGCGCTCTCTGTGCCTGTCATGTCATGTATAATGCACAGTGTAGAAGCTTTGAGGTAGCTGAACCCCACACATGAGCTGCGTGGAGTGAGCTTGTCCCAGCCCTCACACACGTTCTTGCACTCCTCCACCGACTGGTTCTGAACAACGCGCTGCGGGCTTATGAACTCAGTGTTGGCAATCTGTGTATAGCTACACACATCTGAAAACATAATCACATGTACAAATTAGATATACAGTATAATTATATATTTGTATTTTAAAGTATATAAAGATACATATATGTATATAAATAAGTTTAAATACATGCAGAGAGAGAGAGAGGGGAGAGAAAAAGAGAGAGGGGGAGAGAGAGAGAGGGGAGAGAGAGAGAGAGAGAGAGAGAGAGAGAGAGAGAAAGAGAGAAAGAGAGAAAGAAAGAGAGAGAGAGAGAGAGAGAGAGAGAGAAAGAGAGAGAGAAAGAGAGAAAGAAAAAGAGAGAGAGAGAGAGAGAGAGAGAGAGAGAGAGAGAGAGAGAGAGAGAGAAAGAGAGATGTTGGCATCATTGGGGTACGATTTGGACTGAAAGATAATTTTTTGAACTGAGAGGGTTGCATCCAACATGAAATGATTTCATGCTTTAATTCCAGAACTTACAGTGTCACAACAGAAGCAAAAGGTTCCAGAAATATGGCAACCCTAAGCCTATGCCATTTATGCCCTTTTCAATGTACTTTGGTTCATTTAAGAGGCCATATCTCGAAACTAATGTCTTTCTCTCGTCACTAGGTGGAGAAGCTTAAAAGATCTCCAAACAAATAGCATTAATGGATTTGAACTTGGGTCTGTCATTTTGCAGAGTTTTCCAGCAGTTGAAGTGGCAAAAGATCCGAGTTAATTCTTCTTATTTGGGCAGTAAGACTGATTAATTAGCGCTTCTGGAGTTTGCTGATTTGAAAGAAACAAGAAATACAGACATCCCATATATACAAATAGGAAAATGTTTCTACATTTGATACAAAAAAATTTGATCATTCCTTTCTCAAACTTTCAGCATACCCACAAAAGTGATAGTCCTGATTTTAAAAAAAGAAAGGCTTTTCTTTTGATTCACAAACTAGCTGTGTATCCGTGGGTGGTTGGGGGGTGGGAAGGAAATGGGGAGGGTGGTACGGTACACAACATCTCAGATCAACAAGAATCAGGGAATAAGTAAAAGAGGCATCAATGCTGGGTGACAAGGACACAAAGATTGGCTTAGAGATAATGCTGAAGAAGATGCGCTGATGACAATATTTATAGAAATATGAAAATGACCAGATTTTTCCTACTGACGATGATGATGCTGATTTTGATAACAACAGCACATGACTGAGAGCATTTAGTAGAAATGAGATGCAAAATTTCAAGTTAATGAATTGAAGTAACAGCACACAAAATATAATGATATTAATATGACCACAATAATTTAATACCGCACACACAACAAAGATGAATTAAGACATGCAGGGAAGTTAAGAACAAGATGGGGCAATCTGGTAAGTATTCATTTATAGAAGGGGAGCAGACAATGTAGATAAGTAAAATGAATAAAGACCACAAATTAGAAAGACTTGAAGAAAAACTTAAAAAATATACCCCCCCTCCTCCCTCCTCCCCCCGACCCCCCGGGAGGGTCTAGATACTTAGGACATGTGGGTGTGTATAATAAGAATCAGAAAAGTATTGAGAATGAAAATGAATGCAAATAAAAAATATATTACAAACTACAAGAATTTATACAAGAAGAAAAATGTCTCAGCTAAATGGCAGATACTATTTAAATCTAAAACAATTCTAAAATAAAATAAAAAGTCATTTTTACCTGCTATCTAAGAGTTACAATACAATACGATTATCTCGTTAAATCTCACTACAGTTTAACAATTCTTTCATTTAACACATATGCACACATGCACACAAGCACACACACACACACACACACATAGGCTACACACACAAGTATAGACATACACCCAATTGGAGATGAGCGTTAATTTTTTTTATATATTCATCTATGAGGCATCTTGCACACCTAAAAAATGTTCATTTCATAAATATATCTTTATGACTCAAAATGAAGACTCTGGCTAAAATTTACGATTTAATTATCCTTGTTTTTATGAGAAAACTATTTTTAAAAATTGTAAACAAAGTAAAGCTGTATATACATAAAGTAAAAAGTCTGGACATTTTCTCCAACAAAGAGGAGTAAATAAAAATTACAAAACCATGTATGATGATTCAGTCACTAACTGAGTACCACTTGCATTAATTATTGCAGCACATTTTTCAAAAGAGTCCAGGGCTGAAATATCAAGAATCATGAAAAGAATTTTCTTTTTCATTTCAATTTTCAAACATCATGCTTATAGCGTTATCTTTTTACTTTGCCATGCTCACTAACCAGTATCAGAAACAGAATAAATTTAGAAGCATGTTAAGAAAGAAAAGCTATTTTGATTAAACTTCTAAGATGGCAAAAAGTTATAAGCCTGCCTAAGTCAACTTTTTTTGGGGGGGGGGGGGGGGGCAAGCAAATTTAGCTTGCAGACAGCATTGCTCTGTTGTTTATGAGCATAACATAAATCTACGATAGTCTGGCAAATCTGTCTTATCTAGAATCAAACTGTATGCTTATTGCATGAAGAATGTTTTGCATTTATCTATGCAGATAGGTTTAATAAGCGTTGAGTTATAGCATAGTTTGTCGACTGAAAAGTCAGAAAACAAAATTGGCTTCATACAAACATGGAACAGTGTTCTTTATGTCAAAAGTTAATTATAAATAATATTTTCAAAAGCAAACACCATAGTTAAAACACTTTAAATAGGCAACAATGTACATGTACTGAAGCTTTAAAGAAGTGTATCAAATGGAAATTTCTTCCAAAAGACATGCTCATTATAAGATTAGAGAGAGGTCACATTTGTTCAACACTATCCTTTGTCCGTAAATCTTACTTGTGATTATGTGCGTGGATATATGGGAGGGAGTTGTTTGTATGTATGTGTGAGTGTGTGCGCATTCGCATGCGTGAGCACACTTGTGTGTATGAGTGTGTGTTTGTGTGTGTGTGTGTGTACATGTGTGTGTGTGTGTGTGAGTGTGTGCATGTGTACGCATGTGTGTGAGTGAGTGTGTGTGTGTGTGTGAATTGGTACATGTGTGTTCGTGTGAATGTATGTGTTTGTGTGTGTGTGTGTGTGTGTGTGTGTGTGTGTGTGTGTATGTATGTGTGTTTGAATGGTCTCAAAATGTGCATTTTCTGCCTTTTGATTTGTCAATAAGGTGAGTGATCATTCTCCATTGTACAGCACTTGGGGCCTTCTAGAGATAAGACACTATATCAATTCCCATTATTATCATTATCGTTATAAAACGTTTGTTTTATTTCTCACTCCTGTTTGCAGAGCACAAATAAAATTTTAGCTAAATTTATAAGAAACAGGCAAATGTAACATAACTAGTCCCTATTACAATAAAACCTGAAGAGATTGTTAAGGGTTTGGCAAACGGTATGATTAGTCTTGGAAAAACTCATCAAAGTTAAAGAAAGAGATACAACTAATGTAACAAGTAAAGCAGTTTAAATTAGTTACATTACGTTAGACTGGAAAGGAAATAATGAGTACAACACTTAACAATGATTTCTGCAAAAAGAGAAGACCAGAAAAAAAGGAAAATAAGAACTCCGAGAAATGTAACAAGACTGAGGGTGGCTTAGGCTAAAAAAGATTAAAGTATCATACAGTTATGTCAGCACGTATGACATGAACTCATAATCACAGCCAAGAGGCGGCAAATTAGAAGAGAGAACTCATGAACAACTACCCATTTCCCCCCTCGCCCCCAAACTCCCACCCCCTTTGCAAAAATAAATAAATAAATAAATAAAATCAAACAAAGAAATCACAAACAAGCATATGCACAAAAACAGATAAAACAAGAATAAAAAAACTACTTAAACGCATCCTACCCCCCAAAAACAAACAACAAAATGACTTTTGGATACATGGTCTTATTTCAGACACAGGCAGAAACGAATAGTATGCAAACAGATGGACATGGCGTTGCACTTGTGATAAAGACTGGTTCAGATTCCATTTTGCCAGATCCAGTCTTGTATCTATTAACAATTTATCTTAGCAAATTTCTTCATTTCACCAACATGCAAACAGGAACCAGTACTTTACAATTAAAAGAGACAACATGAGAAAGATAGTGATAAGCTTACAGCAGCCTGCAACATAGATCATCCGCTGGGGGACTGAGATTGTTAATTTGAAAGGAACTGGTTTGCAAAAGGAGTTAGAGTGAAGCCATGACAGATTTTCATCAGAGAAAATAAAAGACAATTAATAAGAACTTAATCTTTAAAATAGGGTACAGAAAGCCAATTCCTTTACAGTTCTGCTAAAGAAAAGTATATTAAGTGAGAAATAACTTTCAGCTTATAAAAATGGCAGTAAACAAGTTTCAACGCAACAACAAACTGACTTAAAGTTCTACTATTACACACACAATCTTTATTCTTGGACTAAAGTTTAAGGAGTTGACAAATATATATAATTTCATACAACAACATAAGATCATTGCCTGGAGATGTGGTTTGACGACATTTCAGCCGAACAGAAACACTTAATATGTTGGTGAGAATATTATTCCTCCCCCTTTCTAAAAAGAACAATAGTAATTAAAAAGCAAATAAAAAAAAAGAGTAAGCATTTTACTGTTGGGAATATAATGGGGAACTGACAAATCACAATTTTTTAGAAACAAAAACAAGCAAAGCAAATATAACAGCCAAGCGCATTTTGCATTCCACTTTCAAAAGCAAATAAAAAAAAAAAAAAGAGTAAGCATTTTACTGTTGGGAATATAATGGGGAACTGACAAATCACATTTTTTTAGAAACAAAAACAAGCAAAGCAAATATAACAGCCAAGCGCATTTTGCATTCCACTTTCAAAAGCAAAGCAGAAGACAACAAAATGATAGCAAGCAATTTAAACAATAAAAAAATGCATTGAAAGAAGCCGTGAACTTAAGTAGAAACAAAACTGTGAACACAAAGAAAGAACACAGTGCCCAAAAGGAATCAATGCTTCGAAACATTACCCGCATTCGCTGAAAGAAATGAACAATTCATATAAGAAATCACAGATTATTCTCGTCTACACGTACAATTAAACCTAAGACCTCTGTGTGCAGTCTACGGACATAAAGCTTGGAATCTACAGTAACATATTTATAAAAGTACATGTAAGCAAAAGGTGTTGTCAAACTGTGGCAAATGTTCATCAGATGCAATTTACAAATACGAATCATATAGAAGCAAATGTGTCCATCTTGAAAGGGCAAAATTGAATGACTGTTGACTTTTTCACGGCTAAACAATCATTTATTTGTCTTTTTGAGTATAGATGCCTCCACCCCCCCCCCCTTTTCCCCAGCCACCAATTAACACCCTCCCCCCCCCCCCCACTTAAATGCAAGTTATATAAAATAATCCTTGCCTGACACAATCTTAACTGGATATGCTGGATATGCGCTAGATCCGAATGAACAAACAATAACAGTTTTTGCTTCCAACTGTGAGAACCTCTCAAGAAGGACTTTTTTGGTACTAAATTAAGCATAAAACCTACGTGGTTGGAAATGTTTAAAAAGAAAATGAGTGACTCTACAACTGGCACAAGTGTGAAATCCATGATCAAAGTTTGTGAGGATGACAATCGTTCCAGTCCAACAGTTAATGGTACATGTACAATGAAGCATGAATCTAATGAAGATAACAAGGTAATAAAGCATCTCCTTCACCAAGACAAAGTGATATACTGCTTTGCTTTCTTTTTGGCCCTGGTGCAAAAAGAAGTTGCAAAGACGGGCAAAACGTTTTAACAAAGCATTTTCCTGAGCTTTTATCCCAATAGCAAAAAAAGCATTGAAACTTGACATACTACAAAGCAAAGAACAATATTTTATACTGTAGAGTCTGTTTATATAAAATTTCCCAAGATCAATCTTTTCCTTTGAACACAAATAAGGTTCACTAAAGGAGAGATCATAGAAAGAAAAAGAGAAAACAAAAGTTGTCCCACACTTCCACGGCTCTTCTGCTATAAGCTGACAAAACGCCTTTTTTTCATTTTTGGTGCCAAATTTTTTAATTTGCTAAATCAAAGTCCTGATCTGTTACCCTACATGTATGAAAAAATCAAAGTGAAACTGTTCAGTTTCTTAATAAATTAGAATTCAAATTTGGGAACAACACTGTTTTTAACAGTTATGCTAACATAAAAAAACCCTCTCTTCATCTCGAAATTGCTGTGAATTTTACAAAAAAGCGTTTTGTCAGCTTACGGTAGCATTGTCCTATTCTATAAAATTAGTTATCCACTACCTCACCTTACTCTGTGGTTACTGCCTCGATTTTGATATGTCTCGGTTTTGACACAAGTGGTTTACTTTTTAACATTACCAAGGGTAAGCAGGTTGACACAGACATCCCAACCGTAAGCTTTCCTTTCCACTTTCTTATTAATTATCAGATGCATTACAATCAATTGAAGTGTAAACTAGCCCTGAGGCCTACATATTATGTTTGCCTTAAAAAACAATCCAGTGGGTAATATATAAAAAAGAATTATGAAATCTAAAAGGAGCCATAAAAGAAGATGCATTTATCCAAGAGCTACCTTATTGTTCATAATAGAGCTACGTCTTCTATTTTAGCTAATCTTTGCACCGCCACCATGAGCTTTACAGCAAGCAAAATCCAAACCTTATGTCTCAACTCCACTGTTATCTATTGTCCTTATCAAAAGAAACACCAGAATTAAGAAAACTGCTAAGAGCACCCATCCTGCAGTTAAAAGCAACCATTTTTTAAAGTCAAACGGAAACCCATCCCATAACAATTATTAGGTTTGTTTTTAAAGCCAAAAGACGTATCTCACATCAAGAAGAGGCAGTATATTCTTACCAGTGCAGTTGGAATAGAGGGGGCTCTCAGCCCTCAAGGCCAGCGTGTTAGCCGGGCACGAGGCGCAGTATGTTCTGTTGTACCTGTATGTGTTGCCTGAGCACTCAACACAGGGAATGACACCACTGCTCGACACATAGTTGTCAGCACATGTACCTGCACAATGTAAATTATGACAATATTATAATTATTATAAAGACAAAATAGATTGTAAAGCGCATATAGAGCTTGCTTTTGAGCGGGAATTTGCACAATACAAAAGCCATCTATTATCATTTTTATCATTATAAAAGCATCACATGTTCACATAACCAGAACCTGAACCATTTATAGTTTATAGAAGCACCAGCTATCTATGTTTTCATGCTGTTATAGCCTCTTAAATAAGCCTCACACAAGTTGACAATGCACCTTATATGTTACTATCAAAAGGCAAGCGTCTGGTTGTTGTTGTGCAGTGGTTCCCTCTTCTTTTTTTTCAGTGAAACTAATATCCTAGTCAGCTTTCCAGCAACAAGAGGCTGTTACTTTGTTAACATGTCTCGACATACCATAAAAAATTCTAACTCAAAAACTAAAACAAAAATTTTAAAATTGACTCAGACAAGGCCAGACCTGGGCAGAAACATTTGGAACAAACAACCAGTAATTGTTGTACATATTGCTACCCATGAACTACAAAGTGCTATCTGATAAGCACCTAGTTTTGAGAAATTTTACGTTAAAAATTTTGAGTTTCACATGTTAAGCTCTTTCAAATGCAAATCTTAGAATATCTTGATAACCACTCCAAATAATTTAATGATTTTGATAGAACTGATAGAACATTTGATTTCTAACCTCATGGTCTCAGTAACTCAAAATGGCCAAAAATGTCAGATAGAACCTTGTTATTCTAAAGAAACGATATATCAAAAATATCTTACGGATACAAAACTCGGGTCCAGTTGATCCAATCCCAGCTGTGGAGTAGCCTGCAGGGCAGAGAGCACACTGGCCCAGGTTGAGGTAGAGAGACTCCACCCAGTATGTTCCAACAGGGCACTTGACACACTCCTGGCTGCTCTCTCGATGGGTCCCTCGAGGACATCTCACTGGAATTAAAAAAACAATTTAAAAAAATATTACACACTGTGTTCTACACTCGACTCCACATGAGTTGAACTCGCTCAAGTTAATCATCGGTTAAGTTGATCTTTTCTCGGGTCCCATTAACCAGCCCCTCTTCTTATTTTACAGTTGACTCCACTTGTGTTGAACTCACTCGAGTTAATCTTAGGTTAAGTTGATCTTTTTCTGGGGTCCCAAACACGTTTTCTCCTTTAACGTTCCCAAAGGGCAAGTTGAACTTCAGATGAGTTGATCCATTTTTCCCTCTCTGAACAACATCGACTCATCCGTAGTTGACTGTATTATTATTACAAATCCTACACACAATAATAAAACAAAATTTTTCGGGCATGGAAATAATAAGCCACACTGCTCCTACAGGTTCTTTATGGAAACTCAAAACTATCAACAATCACCACCAAAAAAAAAAGATACAAAGACACTTTTTATATATTTTAAGATATACTTAAACAATATGTTTAAACAGAAGTAAGTATAGAAACATAATCTATTAAACAAGAAAAATGGCAAAAAATGAAATAAAATTGAAAGCAATCGACAAATTAAATATGATTCAGGACTTCATATACATATAATAATTGCTTTGATCTGCTTTCATTCATCATTAGTCAAAGAATGGGACAAGTCAATCTTTCCCAAAAAAAGAAAAAAAAAAGATTTTCTACATTTTTACAGCACACACCTATTAACAAAAACGAATAAACTGAGATAAAAGATTTGACTAAACCAGAAAATATCCTTCATACATACGGACTGCTCAGTGAAAAACTCTTGTCACAGGTCATTTTTCAAAATTGTGATCGGCAGAGTGTTACATTATACAGTCAATATGTGTCTAGGTCCAACAGTAAAAGTGAAAAAAATCTTGTTTAAAATTTGCTTTTGTATGACTTCAATACCATGCAAGACACAAAACATACCTTTTAAAGGCACTGTGTTTGACAAAGTAGAGTAAAAGGAAAAGAAACAATGGAGCAAAGTAGGCCGAGATACATAAAACTAGATGTCAAACAATTAATTCTAAGCTTTGATTTTCATGTGATACTCAACGATATGGGGGACTTCGCTGCCTACTATGGTGCAGTGGATGTATATAATTATTATGATAATAAAAAACCCAAAAAGTTTGAGGGGGTGGGGTGGGCAAAAGGGAATGGGAGATTCGTTCTCCTGACAATGACAATGACAATTTTTATTCATTTCGCAAGGAGAATTTTCTTAGTCAACCACAATGACAGACGTGTTACAAAGTTCCTGTGCACTCATCAATACCTACATCAAGAAAGAACACAAATATTACGTGCTGAAACACCTTTATAGAGGTGTTCTGACTTCTATAATACTTAAAGAAGTTGACCAATTTTTAGTTTTAGTAAGAGTTTTACAGCACTTGCAACACAAGAAGGTCATATAAGTGCCAAAGACTAGAAGTGTTTACAAGGGAGTAACAAACACAAAAAAGTAGGAGAGATAAGGACAACAGATGTTTGTTGGAAAGAAAGAGCAAACCATATCAGAGCACCCGCCAACCACCCACAAGTTAGCAGAAAACAACAACTACAAAAACAACAGCAACAACAGCAACAACAATAATAACAACACAAACAGTACATACGAAAACTTACAACAAACTTCTGCATTATTGACCACACGCTTGCCAAGATTCGTCTCACAGACAGCTTCCTCTACGGTCAGAGTGGAGTCGACAGATATCACCAGACATGATTCCACCTCTAGATCGAGCAGTGGAGCCAGCACTGAGGAGTTATCTCTGTTGCCCAGGAGCTTCATCTGAGCGTCCAGCTTGTCTAAACAAATACGATACTCGTCTAGATCAAGAAAGGTGGCCGACAAAACGTCCAGGGAAAATTGGAAGGCAGTCTGTAGGAGTAACAAAAGTCAAAGCTGTACAACGGAGGAAATGACACCAACACAACTTTCTTCATCGTAAGATAAAATTGAAATGAAGGCACAAAATGAAAAATACAACACATTTATATTACAACAGTGAGCGATGACTCACTCCCCGGCGATACCTTTGCGGTTAGCATGATGTCATTGTGTGTGTGTGTGTGTAGATATGTGTATGTATGTGTGTGTGTGTGCATGTGTGTGTGTGTG